CATAATATTCTGTTTTCTTAATGGTAAGCAATGTACATAGTTATGTTGCCTTTACATTATAGGTAATTTGGTTATACCTTAATTTTAGTCTCCGACTCATTACAGTCTTGATTAATTATTATGTGGTAAATTGAGATTAGTATTTAGCATCCCTTAATTACAGTTTTACATTTATTGTAATTATTATTAATTTACATTATTAATTAATGTTATTAAATTTAGGGGCTAATCTCATTTGTTATCTTTCATAACAATTACTCATTCATGGTAATCTACTATATTTGGTACATTGGTAAGATTACTCATGTCACTTCATTTTTCCATTATTATTAATAATGGTAATTAAGTGTTACCAATAAACTGTTACGTACCATTGAGCGATTCAACTAAACTCTCCGTGAAGATGGGAGATTTTTGGAGGCTTTCTTCACTATTGCTGTTAGTGCTATCGATAGGTGCAGTTTGCATCATTAAGGTACGCAAATCATTAATTACAGTTTCTTATTATTGGTAACTACTGTTATAGCTGTTAACCATTTTGAACTAGTCACATTTTATCCTTAAGAATATGGAAACATTAAGATATGTATTACCATGTTTGTCATTATTAAAATGTTCATAGTGATTATAATGCTCCTTATTACTATTAATATTTTAATTCATGATAACATTATTTTTTATGGTATTAAGACATGAATTGTTTCCAAATTGATTTATGTGACATTTATTTTCGGACTTAAGTTTTATTACATTTTAAAGCTATATCCAAAAATGTTTTAAAGTTTAACAGTTTTAACTATTGTTTTTCATATTTAGTCTCCAAATTAACATAATAATATTGTTAATGGCTATTTATTGCCCTTTTGGTTTATTTGCAATTTTATGCCATTAATAATATTATTAATTGAGTTTTGGAGAGTGATTTTTTAATCAATTCAGAATTTTGGAAAAACATCTTTTCTAGGCATTATTATACATCTATCCCATAATTTATTTAGTATTTGAATTATGACTTTAGATGTTATTGCCCACATTTAGTTAAGTGTGGAAAATTGAATACACATTTGATGTTTTTTCATACTTTTAGATTGTTTTATGCCTTTAATCACATTAAGTGCATAACATTAAGTTTAATTATGCATTAGGATTTGTGAGTTTTTTATTTACGAATAAACATATACTATGGCTTGATATTTGTGAATTCAGCCTGCTTCTCACAAATTTGATTTTATGCAATTAAAACATTTTCACGTGGGCTAGTTTTTAACCTTTCAAAGTATATATCTATTATATTATTATTCAAATTTTGGATTTCTTTTGGTTAGAAGTCATACTTGTTTTGGATATTAATTGTATACTTGAGGTTATTGCTCATATTAAAATTGTTTTCATTTATGCAATTTATTTAGAATATATGGGTTTAATGTTCGATTTTATGCATACTTGTCCACCGCATAATATTATGTTTTTTTTTTAAATTATGCAATTTTACTATGCCTTTAGAAATGCATACTTTAGGATGGAATTATATTAGTTCCTTATTAAGTTGGACCTATGCATAAACTTTAGCTGCGGTAGTGCCTGAATTTAAGAACGTTTAGTCCGCTAATTTAGTTCATCAATTTAAAGCCTTATCCATAAGTGAATCTACAATTGAATAGATCTCCCAAACGATTTTACTTCAAACATGAGAACACATGACTTAGGGAAGTTTCTTGGGGAGGAATACTAGTTCTATGGCCCTGGCTTAAAAGCCTTGTTGCTACTAGTCCCTTGCGACGCTACTCTGTCTAAGGAGTTGGTATTTAACCGAGCTTCGTCTCGACCAACTTTCCTGGGAGTATACCTAATAATTGGCTATCATGTGTTGGTTTAATTCGTTTGTTAGGCTTTAACTTCCCCTTTGCCAAGTGATTACAATTTCTAGATTAATTAAAGAGTAGCCACAACATCTTTAATTTACTAAAAATTGTCTAAAGTTCAAATCACATAAAGATGGCAATGATAAATGCCTAGTGGTCCTATAATTTTAATTAGTTGGGGAGTAGCCACAACATCCTTAATTAGTTAAAATTATATATTGAGTTGTTGGGTCACATAAAATTTGATAAATGTCTAGTGATCTTATAATTTTAATTAGTTGGGGAGTAGCCACAGCATCCTTAATCAGTTAAAATTATATATTGAGATGTTAGGGTCACATAAAGTTTGAGACATATCAATTGTGATTAATTGTATGTAATATGATGGAATTTAGCCCACAGGCAATTTCGTTATATTTGTATGATTAATTAGGATGAAATACTGAACTATGATCATAATTTAGCCCACAGGCAATTATGTATCGGGATGTAGTTTAGCAGTTTTATCAGTGATGATAGGAATAAAGATTCACCTCTCATGAAGTTTAATTTTATGATGTAAACTTTAGGTCATATATCTTAATTTGCCCACAGGGATTAAGATAAGGAACATGATCTCTTAAGTTTTTTGTCATAATGGTTGTAATGAATCTAATTGAATTAAAACTTCAGCCCACAGGCAAGTTTTATGTCACTTGATTCTTCAATCCATTTGATAATTGTATGGTTGTAATGAATCTAATTGAATTGAAACTTTAGCCCACAGGCAAGTTTTATGTCACTTGATTCTTCAACTCATTTGCTACTTGTTTCATCATAAAATTTCAGTTGGATCTAATTGAGTAGAACTTTAGCCCACATGCAAGTTTTATGTCACTAGATTCTTCTGACTATTTAGTAATTGAGATAAAAATACTATCATAAGTGTTTAATTGAATTTAATAGAATTAAAACTTTAGCCCACAGGCAAGTTTTATGTCAATAAATTCATCAAACCATTAGATAATAACTTTATCCCAATTTCTTAGAATTTATAAATTTAGTTCAATTATAATTCTATGTTTCATGGTTTGCATTGGCAAAACATGTATTTAGTCACTTCCCAAAATTTAGATACACCCTTTATTTAATTATTTTTCACAAAGCTTACTTGGTTATTTGGACTAACTATAGTAAGTTGCGTGGTATGATATACCTCTTATGGATTTCAATAATAAAATATATCTTCTGAGCCGAATTCCAACTTGGTTTTGGAAGGCGTATTTTATTATTTTAGTATGTCCAACTATGGTGGAGAATCATGTCCTCATTAATCATTCATTTAGTTGGACTATAAATGGCCAAATATTGATTATTTAGTATGCCCAACTAATGGTGGGGAATTATATCTTCATTATTTAGTTGGCCAAATCAATTATGAGTGTTATGTCATTAATTTGGCTAAAGAATATCTTAATCAGTGGGAGTGATCATTTAGAAAAAGATCGTTAAAATACTCCATTAAAGTTGATGGATTTAATTGTTTTCATACATTCCAAATTGGATTGTGCGTCTAGCAATAAGTCCAAAAGTTTTCACAAGTATTAATTTAGTCTTTTGTTCTTATAATTCATAAGTTCATTTCATTGAACGTTTGGTTGTACAACATATTTATGAAAATGTTGTAACAATATTAATGAATTTATTAGAATGAAAACATTTAACTTGTGGTGCACTGCCAATTAATAAATTCTTTAGTAGCAATTAACATAGTCTTTAGTTTCTTCAAAATTGATCCTGGGCCATTTTTGGTTTGTAAGGCTCAAAACAATTTTGGAAGACATAATAAGACTCGTAATGTTCAATTAATTTCGAGGTGGACCTTGAGATTATTTGGGAAATTGATGTATGTTTAAGATTCCAAATTGTTGACTTAGACCTTATGGTTTATGTCATTGGAATGTTTCTATGACTTGACTATCTTTTGGGCTATCTTAATGAGTGGGAGTGACAGACGTGTCAACTCCAAGCTCTTAGCCGTTAGAGGTAGTGTTTATGTTAACTTATAAACAAGTCATAGAATATAGTTAGCATTATGCTAACATTAAGAGATCTCTACTTAAGGCATGCTTTTAAGATTTTGGAGATCATACAGTGAATTTGGATGGTTTCTTCCTTCAGTTGTGCACATAATATATTTTGAGAAACATCCATTAAGGGACTAAGAATAAACGTAGGGGTTGTTCATAAAGAACCTAAGTTAGAGAATTTAAATGCATGTGATCATAGTAGATACTACTCACTTGATTAGTAGATGACGTATTACTATGGTTCTTGTATTTTGTTCTTTAATGAAGGTTGTGCTAGTACTTGCACCAAGTGGGAGAATGTAAGTATTTTCCCTAAATACAATATATTATAATATATTGTATTATTGGGTGGTTGTGGTGCAAGTAGGAGATTGAGTCAATTAGTGACTTAATCTGTTATGCAACTCAGGATATTCAGTTAAGCTTTAACTGAATATGTGCCTATGTTGATGGCATGTAGGCTTCTAAGCAAAATAGTCCTCCCACAGCTCCCGAGTTCAGGACACGCACCATCACGTATTCGGGAGAGAAGTGGTAGACAAAACACTAATGTCCATTCTGCAGGTTTACCATCCCAGAGACAATACCAACAACTATGGCTGGGGATATTCGGGCGATCCTAAAGCTTCCGCTGCAACGAGGCAGGTTACTCGTTTACTACAGTTCATGTTAGTCTAAATTTATTATCTAACATTTGGTATCAGAGCCCTCAAAATCTCTGCCTAATTTGTTGTATTGCTTTAGATACAAAATTATTTCGAAAAATTAATATTAAGTTTATGTATATGAATTTTCTATACATGATTTATTGTCGAAATTTTGCATGGTAATACCTACTGCCTGGAATTTGTCGCCGGTGATTTTGACTCCGATCGTCGTTGACGAGGGCAACTACGAGCATACATGGACAACGACATGAAGAACGCAGTGTGACGCTGTTGAGGATGCGACTTGGAGTCGCGGATGGCGGACAACGGCGGCGTCGGTTTTTAGTTCTGGAAGGCGGAGATAAAATACACTTCTGGAAGGCGCAGCCCGCAGCAATCACAATTCGATCCCGGCAATAATAATAGTACGGAGTATTCTCAGAAACCTGGTACGTACTACCTAGTACATTCTTTACCAAATTAGACATTTCGGCAACATTTTTTCCTTTGAAAGTCTTCAAAATCTTCGGGGACAACAATGTCAAATCGTTCCACGACACCCCAAAAACTACATTGGTTAACAGTTCACATCTCACACAGTACATAGTAACACACCAGAGCTGAAACCGCCTTTGGCCTAAAGCTTGCATGGCATTCAATTGATCAGACTCCCAAAAAGGGCAGAAAAATTCCAAAAGAAACAGCTTCACGGATTCCAAACCCGGGATTCTGCAGTAATTCATAAATCAGGTAGAATCCGATATACTTTTTTTAATATTTATTATTTATTGTATATGTATATTCCTTGAATTTGCTGGATTTGGTGTTTCGGATGATTTTTAGGGTTTATCATGAAATTGGGGGCTTTGAGTTCTTGACTCTGAATTTTTGATTGAGGGCTGATTCTTGAGAAATGGTGGTGGCTTCTTCTTCTGCTACCCCTCCTTCGGAGAAAGACCTTGAGGAGGAGGTCATAGATTATGGGGTTAGGCTTTTCACTCCCCCTTCTTCTAATGATGAGCTTCTCAGCTTCCTCGATGTAAGGGTTCAATTTTCTAGTATTCTACATGCCAAGATTCGATTTTTATGTTTGATTTGTGCTTCAATTCAGTTACTCAGTTTTGCTTGGATTCAGTTATTAGCGGTGATGTTTTGAGTAGGTGAAATTTGAGGTTCTTTTTCTTAATTTGTGCACAGATTGTACCCACATCCCTAATTTATTGTTTCTTTTTTGCTTGTGTGTCTTATATAGAAAGGACCAACATTTTTCTTTGTGTTCTCTTGCTTGTTATCTGTCGTTTTGGCATAGATGTGTTTGAAACACAAAAAGCTTGAATTTGATTGCTTTCTGTTTGGCTTGGTGTTTGCCTTAAATTGCATTTAAACAGAGTCTTGAATGTTTTTTTAGGGTAATAACTAATCTTAGGAGGTTTGTTTTTAGCTCAAAGTTGAGGTCTTTTTTGTTTTTTGGTCTTGTTTTGAAGGTATTCTTTTTAGCATCAATATAAGTGAGTATGTCTGATGATGTACCCGTTCTTGAACTTGGTTTTATTTGTATTGCTCAATGCATCACTATCTACACATCGTTAATGTACGATTGCTCCAATTTGACTTCTCTTTGGCCCATTTCGTTTCTAGAAAGTCGAATCCCTACTAGTCAGGGTAGGGCAAGCCCCTTCAGAGACCATGAGGAATGCCCTTCATCCAATAATGAAAGCGCTAATTGGTTCAGAGCTTTTGGTACATTCTGATGAAGCTGTAAAAGTTTCAGTTGTATTGTGTCTCAGTGAAATAATGAGAATAACTGCACCACGTCAACCTTACGATGATGCTGTAATGAAGGTATCCCAGTGGGATTTTGTGTATTTCTCCTTCTGTTATCCTTTACGCCCCTCCTATTTTTATTTATTTAAGTTTCAATAGCATTCTAGCATATACAAGCGTTTTTAGTTTAGACTTGAATTTTGTTTCAGGAAATTTTTCAGCACATCGTAGGAACATTTGAGAAGTTAGAAAATGTCAAGAGTCACTGCTATTCGAAGGCTGCGCAAATTCTTGACAATGTTTCAAAGGTCAGGGCATGTGTGATGCTTTTGGACCTTGAATGTGACACATTAGTTGTTGACATAATTAAACTATTCCTCAGAATCATCAGGTAACCAACCTTCAATGTGTTCCTTTTTACCGTAATAGTTGAACTGACAACCTTTTAAGACATTTATATTCTTATTATACATATTTTATTTTTCTGCATTTTGTTCTCCTTGATGTATCCATAAAATTGGTTGTAAATTTTGGCTCAAGCTCCTCTCATGCCAATGATGTATTCACAAACATGGAAGAGATCATAATTTGGATCATCAAAGAAAGTGATGAAGTTTCGGGCGAGCTGTTAATGCCCCTTGTTGATAGCATCAAGAATGAAAATCAGGCAATGATGCTTTTATCTATCCCTTTCTTCGACCATTCTTGTTTTCGATTTCTTTAAATCTTATCTTAACCTTGTCTTCTTCTTCTTCTTCTTCTTCTTCTTCTTCTTCTTCTTCTTCTCTCTCCAGACTGTTTCACCTGTTTCGTGGCAGTTGGGACAGAATGTCTTGGAAAAGTGTTCTTCCATAATCAGACCTTATGTAATCGAAGCAGTAAAATCGAAGAACTTGGACATTCTTGGTTATGCCGGGATACTTTCCTCAATATGCCAAGAAGTGCCCGAGGGAGAAGACAAGGTATGTTGAGTTTATGGCTATGTATTTCTTACCAATCATACCTTTACCATGGACCAGGCTCTACCTTGCATTGTGGACCCTGTTACAAAATAACCTTCATATTATGTGTTTGCAGTTGACATATTCTGTACCTGTAGTTAACAATTTATGTGTCTATAGTTAACAGTTTATGTGTCTGTAGTTAACATGTTACGTGCCTTCAATTTATTTACAGGCACATAAACAATTAACTGCAGGTACAGAATATGTCAACTGCAGACACATATGCAATATGGACCCCGGTCCAAGGCATAACAATTGATATATTGTTTAATTGGTAATCCGTTGCTTGTTTACTAATGGCAATATAATGAGTAATATATATTTCCTGAATTGATCAGACGGAAAATGAGAATGGACCTCTTGCTGCATGCCCTGTGGAAGTAGCGTCCAACGCTCAAGTTCCTCCAGTATTGCAACGGGAAGACACACCAACTTCGATAGATATTAGTAACAAAAACCAGGAATCTGAAAACTCATCGAAGACATCACAACATTGTGGTCAGATAGAGCATCTAAAAGATACTGGTCCTGAACATCATAGTTTAGAAGATAGGCAACCGGGATCGAATACGAGTGGGCTTCCAAAGAAAAGGGGTAGGAAGCCCATGAAAAAACACGATGCAGCTTCAAAGGAGTCGCCTTTGCTACCAGAAGATGAAAAGCAGACTGCAACTGCTATGCTTTCACCAGAACATCCGGTTTCTAGTTCATCAAAAGGCAATAAGGATGGGAGCACTCGAAAAAGAGGGCGTCCAAAGAAGAATCAGTCCGATCAGTCTTTGGAAAAAGGATCTGAGGTGGGCACTACCAAGGCAAAACGTAGGAAGGGCTCTGGGAAGAATGAGCCATCTGTCCAGTATAACGCTGAGAAATCTCCTGGTTCAAACGTTGTCATTAAAACGGAAGATGAAATTCTTAGTGCAGATAAGTCATCACTTCACCAAAATGAAAATCTCTCAAAGAAAACTGCCAAAGCTAACAAGGAAAATGCTGGCAACAGAGAGGTATCCTGCTACTATCTGTTCGGTTAGTTGAGTATATATAAATCTACGTCTATCATGCCATCAAGGTACTTATAGATACTTGTGCAAAATGCTACATCCAAAGCTTTGTCCCACGATTTAGTCACTGAGAAATTAAAGACCCACGAAAGTACCTCTAGAAATTGCATTTCTTTGATAATCTAAATGAGCATAATCTGATCAACGTATGTGTTTAAGGAACTTCACAATAGTTCAGCTTTGAGACATTGTACTTTATTGTATTTGCTAATGTTAACTATCACTATTTGACACAGTAGGCTCACAAGCCTAAACAAATATGTGGTTTTTAAAATTTCATTCAGGATACCGAGAAGATTGCTGAAATCAAGGCCAGCCATGGTGAAGAATTGGTTGGTGCGAAAATTAGAGTTTGGTGGCCAATGGACCAAGAGTAAGTGCTTTAGAATGATAAATAAATGTCGTTTCCTACTGACCATAGTAAATCTGTTCCGTTAATTGAAAAACATAGGCAGATGTTCTCCTCAATTGCCGTTACCTTGTGTTTGTTGACTTCATATACAATTATAAGAACTTGACTTTTAGGCCCACGGGAACCAGTAACAATAGTTATACCATGAAAAGGTGGACTCGAGTAAAAAATACACAATTTACATGCTGAATGTTCACAATTCAAATTGTGAACATTCAATATGTAAATTGTGAACATTTAGTATGTAAAATTGTGAACATTCAGTATGTAAATTGTGAACATTCAGTATGTAAATTGTGTATTTTTGGACCTGGGTCCATCTTGCAAGGTGGACCCTGGGCCACAATAATTTGCCAACCAGTAATGGCAGCCCTTTGATGTATGTCATGGAAAGTACTCCAATCCTATGATAAATATGTGTTGGTTGTGTTATGATTCATATACTTCAGCTTTTAATTTGTTCTGTTTAATGTATTGAAAAAGTACTAATAATTGCCTAATCCTAAGTTGAGGCATTTAAAGTATCTTGAACATAGAAGTCAAAACACAAACTTTGCTACATGTTATGTTGGTTTCTTTTCTGGCAGGTTTTACGAGGGTGAGGTTTCTTCTTTTGACCCTGTGAAGAAACGGCACAAGGTAATTCAGTTCTTAAGTTGCCCGATATGCTCATATTTGTGTTCATTTATCTCCTTAACTTCGAATGAATGATCTTCTTTCGGGATGTATTCTATACATGTTTTTGTGTGTTTGTGTGTGTGTTCTAAAGGATACTCTTGTTTACTGCTTCGTGTTGTTACTTCTGTAGGTTGTTTATGCTGATGGTGATATAGAAAAGTTGAATCTTGCTAAGGAACGATGGGAAATGAGTACAGAGATTCCTTCCAACGAAGTGGGTTATACTATTCTCGTTGTCTATTTGTCCCGCCTTATAAACTTGGTTTTCGTTTTTATTAGTTTGTATGTATACATCTGTAACGCAATTTCATTGGATGCAATTTACAGGATCATGAAGCAGATCCTCCGGTTTCATCAGCTATGTAAGTTCCGTATTCAAATCTTGATGCGATCTTCTTAATAATGCGCACGTGTGTGTTCTTCTTGACAACGTTCTTGGGTCTTTGGGTTAAGGTCACTCAATTGGGGTATAATACGCATGGGCTAAATCACACTAAAAGACTGAATCCAATCCAATCAATTATCTAGTCTAACCCATGACCTTATTTTTTCAATGTGGGACTCTCAATTCTTAACACCTATTACTCATCGATTTTAGTATTTGAATGGTAAATTTGAGCAGGGATGGGAGGAAGAAAAGAAAAGGCGACTCTTCAAGAAAACAAAAGCCCGCCATTTCAGCAACAAAAAGGTTGGTTTTAACTCACAACCTTTTGAAGTTTGGTTTCAGTACTCGAGTAAACGAGCCATTATCTTTCAGGTCTAGACGCAAAGTACAAGGAGGCAGTGGCGGCGTGACTGCAAAATCTCCTAAGCCCGACGACTTCTGGGTTGCAGATGAAGCGAACGACAACACAGCTACGCAAGGCGAGCAGCCAGGTAACGATGAAAACACTCCTCCACACAAGGAAGAGACTGAAGCTCCTGTAGAGCCATTGGAAACCGTCAACCCGGGCGAAACCCCTACGGCTGTTGCTTGAGCGAGAATACACTAATTTGCGGGGACTAAGACCAGAGAAAGCCTACCCAAATCATTGATGAGAGGGTGATTAGAGTAGAAAAATGAAGTGGCAAAAATACACTGAGTGTGTAAAACTTGTTCTTCTTCACCCCATACAATAGAAGAAGCGTATTTGCTTGTATTGTGTAACCTTTTTCTTTTTAAATGTAGTCTTGTTTCGATGTTGTTCTTATTAACAATGAAGTCGGATTAGTCAGTGATGGATATATTGGAAATATATGGCCTAATAATAGGGATCCGGGTCTAGGAGTGCATAGCCCGAGCGCTCGAGGCCCAGAATGATGGGCCTTGACCTAGCCTCACGGGCCCACTAGGGGGGCCTCGACTTAGTCTTGTGGCCTACCATGACTTTAGGGGAGTTTGTTGGCTCATGTCTTGTATAAATATTGCGTTGTCTTGGCATTACAAATCATGTTCTATCTCTTGTGTCCTAAACAATTGTCTTATTATTACATGGTCTACACCTCTGTAATAGCATTATACGTTCAGTTAATACAATATCAGTCTCCGTGATTATATTTGTAGTCCTATTATTGTTTTAATCATATAGTACGTTACATTTATTCATTTATTTGGGTTAATTAATCCGGACCCCCGGTTTAATTAATTCCATTATCCCCCACCTTCTCTCATTAAGATACGATCTATTCTACTTACACACTTTGTCCTGAAATACTATTGTAATAGCCAATTCTACGACATTTAATACAATTTACGGTCTCACGGCCTTTACGACGTCGTTTCATTCATTTATTTATCATCTATACTACGTTCTTATCCGAATTTAGTGATTCGGGTCCACCCCGAGTATTTAAATCCAGAATTCAATGTGATTATTGTTTTCTAGCTCAAAAGGTCATATGGCTTAAAACAAACACCTAAATAGTGATATAAAATTTTTTACAAGACCTTATTGGGTTTAGGTTACTCTGTTAACCAATTAGATGATTGTCTATATTACAAAGCTTTTGAGTCTGCGTACGTGATAATATGTATATGGTGATATTTAGTGCAAATCTCAATGCTATTAGTGAAACAAAAGGCTATTATTTGCTAATTTTGACATGGAAGATCTGGTGGAGACAATGTTATCTTTGGTGTAAAAATCACTAAAAGATCAAATAGATATACCTTGTTACAAGGGCACTATGTAGAAAAACTTTTGAAAAAAATTCAACTTTTATCATGTGACACTAGCTAACACACCTTATGATTCTAGTGTAAAATTTTAAAGGAATCAAAAGTCGTGTATTTCAAGAAAAATATGTCAAAATTATTGAAAGTTTTATGTTCTTGATGAATTATACTAGACCTAATATAACTTTTGCAGTGAACAAGCTTAGTTGTTAAACTCAGAACCTAAGTGGAGGCCATTGGAATGCACTTAAACGATTGATACGATACTTTAAGGGTACTTCGGACTGATGTTTATGTTATGTTAGGTTTTCCTTCGTACTAAAAGGCTATTGTGATGCAAATTAGGTCAATGACAGCAGTAAAGTAAACTCAACTAGTGGATATGTTTTCACTATATGCAGAGCTATTATGTCATAGAAATCAACTAGACAATCGTGTATAGCTTGGTCAACTATGAAGACATAATTCATAACTCTGGACCTAGTAGGACAAGAGGCTGAGTGATTGAGAAATCTATTAGTTGGCGCATCTCTATGGGGGTATCCAACATCTTCTATACCTATGCATTGTGATTTATAAATTGCCATTTGTGTTGCAAAAAACAATGCCTATGATGGGAAAAGAAGACACATACGAATCAGACATTTGTCTGTAAGACAGTTTAGTTTGAATGGGGTGATGATGAAGTAGAATTTTTGGGTGAGATGATTGTGTGAGAGGGTATCTTCACATCGGATATCGTACTCAATAACTGGTGATAAGAGTTGAGCGGATTGCTTCCCAAGCACAAGGTAATAACCCTTCTAAAGGAAATCTAGCCCAAGTAAAGGTTTGGAGAGAGCAATAGTAAAAACAACTAGGAAAGAAATGAGATAACAAATAAGAGAAAGATGGAGGGGAATATGAACTTAAACTAGGATTAAGAATCGTAATCGAACATGAAATAAGGGAAAGATTTAATTAATTAGATGAAAGATGTCACATTAGTGATATTGTGTATTTGAGCGGGATGGAATTATGGTGTGTGAAAGAGTGTAAACGAAGGTTGTGAAACCCCCGAGTGTCGAACTCAAGGATAGTAAATCGGAGCAAACGAAGTGCAAGACAATTAGGTGTCACAAGGTATCAATAGGATAGACTACGTGCAAGGTAGAACATGTAGAAATGGGTGTATGCAAACATTGGCAATCAAACAAAGAAGGAAAGAAAATGAAAGAAACAAACACACATGTAAAACGGAGATTTGGATGGAATTGAAGTTGTGTCATGCATTCATTGGTCTTAGGTAGATGAGAGGTGGTGCATGGAATTGACTATCCTAAGGGAGACCTAAGGCACCAACACTAGGACGCGTAGCACCTAGTCTCTCTCATTCCCTACATCGGGTGAGGCATTCTATCAAACACTTGGCGGGTGGTCTACCGTCTCATCCCGGACCTAACCCTATCGGGAACGAGGGCGGAGATTGCAAAAGGTAAGACTAAGGGAAATGCAATCTCTTTTGTCAATTTCCTCACTCTCAAACTCGTCTAACCATTGAGATCCTACAATGGAGAGAGATCAATATGAACTCCTCTACAACAAAGGCATTCAAGGACAACTCATACATCAAATCTCATCAATCATACATTCAAAGCATAAGAATACAATCACAATCCAAATCCTAAAAATCTAGAAATTCATCATCATGTATAGAATCACAACATAAATCAAATAAGAAATTAAGAACAAGAAGAAGAAATGTTACCCAAGTCTTCAATCCAAAGTGTTGTAATCCAAATAACAATGTTGAGCAATGAATTGTAGAGGGGAAAATGGAAATCTAATCTAAGAAATGAAGAAATGTAAAACCCTAATCTAAATCTAACCTAAGGAAGCTGAAATTGAAGTGTAGGAAAAGGGCTAAAAAAGTGTTCCCTAAGTGATCCCCTTACAAGCCTTTAAATAAGCTTAAAATCTGAAATTTCATTTAAGTGACTCGTCCACGCACTTCGAAACGCTCGTTGTGAATTTTGTGGAACTTTCTGAAAATTTTTTTCTTCACCAAAGTTGTAGCCCTTGAAGTTGCCGAACCATAGCCACTTGAATCACTTCATTTGGACACTCCTAGCTCAAGATATGATCATTCTACCAAACTGTGGCCGGAATATCCTGAAATTGACAATGTTTTGCTATTTTTCTACAAAGGCAATGAAATTAGTCCCCAATCCTAACTTTTATCAAATTAATCTATTCTAAGCATGAATTATGATTAAAGGACTCTAATTATAGTACAATTAGCTTCTAAATTACTCTATAAAACATAGCATCTTTGACACTTATCAATTAGCCACGAGGAAGCCTTTCTCAAGATTATTCCACACTCTTAGAGCATTTAAGGACATTCTTATCCCTATTATTGACTAAGGGGCATTTCATCAAACATGGTGTCAGAGGCATCACATACTTCTCTTTTCTCAAAGGTGAAACATGGTTGATCAACCCCTTGAGCCTAGATTAAGTTATCACTTCCCAATCAAGACTCAATCATGTTGATCAACACCATCCAAATCAAGTTTCATCTCCCCTACTCAACTAATTCAAAATCACATTCCCAAAACCCTAGTCTCCATCCCTATTACCCTCTTAAAGGATCTACTCAAACATAATTAAAGAGAAAATATCAATGAACTCAATAAGAAAAGCACAATATATCAAAGCAAAGTAATCAAAGAACAAAGTAAATTGCAAGAAATGTAAAAGAAAGAGAAACTTATCTATTTGAAATTGAAATCTTCAATGTCTGATCCAATAATGCAATTGAAAGTAAATCTATTTATTGATTGGTAGTTTGAAATGTAAATTGACAAGTATTTGAATCTAAGGGTGCTTGAATTGAAAACTAAAAAGGAAAAAAGTAGTCTAAGGAAAAATTTAAGAAAAGTAATAAAAAAAAAAATACTCATATAAATCTAATTTCTCTCTTTTATAGCTACGCCTGCATTATGAGACCTGTTACAAGCGTAACATATATCGTAATGGCAGAAATGAGATTTTGATGCTTTCTGTTATGCGACCTATTATGAGTGTAATGCCTTTCGTATTAGCATAAGCGGGTTTATGATGATTTTCATTATGAAGCCTATTACGTGCTTAATGGCCTTCGTAGTAGTAGAATTGGCTTTCTAATGCTCTCCACTATGAAGCTTTGTTATGAGCGTAATGACGCTCGTAATAGTAGGAATAACCTTTATTATTTTGAGTGTTAAGAGTCTTGTTACGGGCCTAACTTAGCTCACAATAGCTGACTTTTGCTTCCTTCCCATTTGTGCTTTATTTTATCCAATTTATCCTTGATTTGACCCTATTTTTCTACAAAACACAAAAATGGCTCAAAGTTAGTTCTTAATCACAATGTATCACATTTTAGGCACAAATAAAGCAAATCCAATCCCAACTACATATAATTAGCTAACATAAAATTATATTTTAAAATAATTAGAATTAAAATGGCAAAATTTATAAATATCCAATGTTATCTTACATACCCTAAGAAAGGGAAGGGAATCACATTCAATTCTCTTGAAAATCCTATGCGGAGGGAATGTTTCATTCCTTGAGAATGTTATATTCTCTAATATAATATGAACCAAACACAGGAATGTAAGCTTTGAAATGTTACATTCCATTGGTTATATTATATAACCTAAATGAAACGCCCCCTAAAAGGACCATTATTATTATTATTATTATTATTATTATTATTTTTTTTTTTTTTTTTTTTTGAAGATCTAAAAGTACCATTTCTAGTGAACAACTCAGCCAGTTTTTTTTTTTTTTTTTTTTTTTTCCACTCAAAATTTGTGGTGGATTGTTGGGGAAATTCTTAGTGGTATTTGATAGCGAATATTCCCTGTGTATACCTACCTATACGTACCACATACCTACTCGGTATCAAATAAAGTAATCATGAGGAATCAGACCCGACTTTGGCCGACCTTATGCTAGACCGACTCGACCTCAATGCAAAGATTGAGCAAGTGACTTATCAACATATACCTTCCACCTCACCTTGTGATCGGAACCAACCGCATGGGTTCGGGATTATCAACCCGACCGGGCTATACATAACCTTATTTCTCTAGTTCTAAAACGACTTCCTTTGCACTTTTTTCTCTTCGTAGCACATTATCTTAGCCGTGCACGCGCTCGTGTAGCCATTATCTGTGCGCGAACACACACATCATGTGTCCTTTTTTTTTTTTTTTAATATGATCCCAACCATTTGTAGGCCAATTATTTTTCAAATAACTCTTTCCCACATCAGTTATTAACTTTGGCTTGAAAGATTTAATGTAAAAATAATCCCCAATTCACTTTTATTGTGGATGCTACTATAAGTGGGTTGTCTGTTTTTTTCTTTTCTTTTTGGCCTCGCTGCTGTCCGTGTCGTCCGCAAAAATTCCCAAGGGCCGTCTTCGGAATCAGCACCGCCTTCACTATGAGTGCTCACCAACTCCTATGTATTCTATTTGTCGTTTCCATCTTGGTGAGAGAAGGTATTCTCCAGAATGCGCAGATCCGCAAATCCCCCAAAATGGCCAACATAATTTTTAGCCGAGTTATTTTCACTTTTGGTTTCACGAGTATGAAATTATTTTCATATTTTTTATTTTGATTATTAAAATTTTTAGATTTAGTTCCATGATTATTATATTTTTGTCAAATTTAGTCCTTGATTATTAAAATTTTTAGATTTGATCCCACAATTTTTAAATCATTCCGACATTTGGTCTCCGACTATTATGTTATGATTTAATGAATTAGCTACTTTATTATTCTCAACAACATTTGGTCTCCGACTATTAAAATTTTCAATTTTAGTCCCACGATTTTTAAATCTTTGCCACATTTAGTCATTTATTATTAACATTTTCAGATTTGGTCGGGTGATTTTCTAATCCCAATATTAACAATTAATCTCCCTTCTAATTAAATAAATTGTACTTTTTGTACAAAACTATCTCGTGTTTGTAAATTTAAATTTGTAATATAATTTTAATTTATTTAACTTAGATTTTAGCATTATTAAAGTTTGTATATAATATTGGAAAAATTGCATCTTCAGTCCTTGAGTTATAACCAAGTTCTGATCAGTTCTTAAGTTATGGCCGTTTTCGAGTTTAGTCCCTCAGTTATGAGCAAAGTGGCGAATTTAGTCCCTAGCATTAATATTCTGTCTATAGCTAACGGAAAACTTAAAAATAATTTAATAATAGACGGGTAAAATAGGAATTTCAAATTATAATCATCTTTTTATGTTGAAACTCGTTGCGCAACAGTTATTCTTTTTTTTTTTCTTATACCTACAATTGAAGGTTTTTTCTTCCCCAAGCTCTGAAATCTCCCAATTCGGTTAGATATAGAATTGGTTCTCTTCAAAAAAAAAAAAAAAAGATATAGAATTGGAGCGTGATTTGGATGTAAGAAGATAAATATTAGGTAAAATTTTATTACTAACTCTTGCTAATTAAGATTATTGAAAAATAAAGAAATGCTATTTTCTCCCCAAATCTTTCCCTTAATATTTCCCCATAGTGTAACCTCACCATTAGTAAAAAAGAAAGTTAGTTACGTTGTTTAGTTACAAAATGTCATCTAAGAAAAGATTAGATGTGAAAATTTTGAAGGGTTGTGTGGCATTATTCAAAAAATAATAGTAAACTTTTACACAATCTTTATTATGATCTACAATTGCGGCTGTTCTATTGGAATTTAAAGCATAAAAGTAATAACACCTATATATAACTCAAGAAATAAATCTATTATTACCTTATAATTTAATAATAATTCTATTTACTTCTAAATTAAAATATATCTCACTCTTGACATGACACTATTTGATTGAATATTTTAATTATTCATTTAAAGTTGATGAGTTAGTAATTGATTTATACCCTCAATAATTTTATGATTATAAGTCACGTTAGTGATGAAATTTAAGAGAAGAAAACTTATAATAAAGAGTAAAAAGTAAATTGCATTATATTCTCATTGTGCTCTCACTATTGGCTTTAACTTCTGAATCACTCATTTATTTTAGATCATATATTTGATATAATTACCACATATGTAAAGATAAATATCTTCAAATGCAATATATATGGAGTATTATTATAGTAAAATATCTTCTTCACAATCACTCTTCATATATATATAAACCATTATTTGATCTTATATTAAGAGTAAAATATTGACACTATATTTTTAAAATTTTTAAATAATTCTAAAAAGGGAATTAGTTTATAGAGTTTGCAAACGTAGTTGGTGAGGGAAGCTAAGGGGACTTTACTATATATAATATATATACTGCGCACCATGCCCATATATCTCCTTTCTCTTTCAACAACATCATCATATCCATACACCCACCTGAAAAGAAACCATGCCGTCGATTTCCGGCCAAGTCGTCTGCGTCACCGGCGCCGGAGGCTTCATCGCTTCCTGGCTCGTTAAACTTCTCCTCCAGAAAGGCTACACCGTCCGAGGAACCGTCAGAAACCCAGGTTTATACATACACGCCCTCAAACCCATTTCCTATGATATATATATATATATATATATATATATATATATATATATATATATAGGGAGTCAGATTTCCCTACGCATAAATACACCACAAGTTAAAGTGTTCAAAAGTGTTCGAGTGTATTGTATTTTATGGTGCATTTGTACATTTTATTGTGATACATTTCTGAACACTGGTACATCTATGCATATTTAATGGTGCAATCTGCACCGACTGTATGAGAAGTCTTATTCTCGTTTGAACCTGTATATATATATATATATATATATATATATATATATATATATATATATATATATGTGTGTGTGTGTGTGCGCGCGCGCGTTGAAATGTTGAGTGTGGGTGTAGCGACTCGCAAATACTTAGATGTAAATTCTTAATAAGAGAGGATCTCAATTTTGAAACAAAAAATAGATATTGCGTCATTAAAGTACATCTCGTGATTTATTTTCTCTCTGAGTCCTTAGTGTAAGGGGAAAAACATTTAGATTTAGGATTTAAACCTATATATGTATGAAGTTACTAAGTAATTATGGTTAATTATGATATCAGATGATGAAAAGAATGGTCACCTAAAGAAGCTTGAAGGAGCAAATGAAAGGTTAACACTTTGGAAGGCGGACCTTCTTGATTACAAGAGCATGGGCGAAGCCATCAACGGCTGCGATGGAGTTTTCCACACCGCTTCGCCTGTAACGGATGATCCTGTACGTCTCTTCTTACCACTGGATGGCTTAGCTTTACTCAATTTTTTAAGCATAAGTTTCATTGGATGGTCAGGATATATTAAAAGTAAATTTTTTTTTTTGAAAAAAAAAAGTTAAAATATTTTCAGACAAAAGTGGGTTAAAATACTGTTAGCTGATTGGTTAAAACTTTTCTTCGTATTGCTATATGATTCTATGAATTGATTTTATTTGATAAATAATTATTAGATGATTAGTACAGAATAAGCACAAGATTATTGATTTTCATTTATTAAATTATTTATTGTGGACAAGTGGCTGGATATGAGTCTTTGCCGGAAGAAAAGGACTACAGGATGATAGATAATCACCAAATTTTTGTGACTTTAGTGTTAATGGTGGGTCCACCTGATAAATTGTCCTAAAAAAAATGCAATTCATTTAAAAAAAATTATTAAATTTATATAAGTAACTTTTATAGTTATTATATCCGTGAGTACAGAAAAATAATGCATGGTAATTATTACGAGTATATTATTCGTGTAATTAATTTCTTTTTGCAAAATAAATATGAAGAAATGAAAGTGTAAAATGAAATATGAAGGAACAAATGGTGGAGCCGGCGGTGATCGGAACCAAGAACGTGATAGCGGCGGCGGCGGAAGCCGGAGTTCGCCGCGTGGTGTTCACTTCCTCCATTGGTGCGGTCTACATGGACCCCAACAGAGGCCCTGATGAAATTGTGGATGAAACTTGTTGGAGTGATCTTGAGTTTTGCAAGAACACTAAGGTATGAAAACAATACATTTGATCACATTAATTTTGATTTATCACATAAGTAATATTATATGTATTTTATTTTTTTACTCTAAGTGACGTGATGTGCTTTAATTGATTGAAAAAAGAAATGTGTGTCCCCAGAACTTAGCTTAGTTGTTCGTTGTCTGATTTGATGTCACGACTGAAAGGCGATAGCGTGGAGGGTTTGAATTCCATTGGAAACATGAATTGGAAGGTGCACCATACCTATGAAGACTTGGCTTTAAGGGCTGAGTGATGTAGACTTAGGATTAGTCTGACGAAACTGGGATCGATATCCCTGCAGTCATTACCTGAGAGTGTTCAATGGGTAAACCCTACCTTGTGACTTTAGTAGTTGGCAAATTAAAGGACTACACGTAAGTAAACCAGTCTAGATTATCCATAACTGATCAGCTCAAACTAAGGGGATCAATATACCGCTCCCGTTAGAAGTCGAACTTGTAACCTTGTGGTTTATCAAGTCAACAACTTGATCAATTTGCATTGGCTGGGGTTTCCCGGGAGTGTTACTCATATATGTGTATTATGACACTAAATTGAAATTTGAACATGGGTGCAGAATTGGTATTGTTATGGGAAGATGGTGGCAGAGAAAAAAGCATGGGAAGAAGCAAAGGAGAGAGGGGTTGATTTAGTGGTGATAAATCCAGTTTTGGTGCTTGGGCCATTGCTACAAACCACAGTCAATGCTAGCATTCTTCACATCCTCAAGTACCTCACTGGCTCTGCTAAAACTTATGCCAATTCAGTTCAGGCCTATGTGCACGTTAGGGATGTTGCTCTAGCCCACATTCTTTTATTCGAGACCATGTCAGCGTTCGGCCGATACATCTGCGCCGAGAATGTTCTTCACCGTGGCGAAGTCGTCGAAATTTTGGCCAAATTCTTTCCCGAATATCCCATCCCTACCAAGTAAGTTTTTCCTTTCAAATTACTTGAAATTTTGCCTTTATCACCAAATCCTTACCTACTACAAAGTCAAAATCTTTTCTAGTGCCCCATTACAACAAAAGGCATGATATGGTGACATTATGTCTTGTCACCTATAGTTGGATTGTGGGGTTTTCTTTTTCTAATTCTTTATATTGTATTATTGGAGAATTATTATTAGTATATATTATTAATTTTGTTTGTGGGTGTGAATGGATGTAGGTGCTCAGACGAGACAAAAGCAAGGGCAAAACCATACAAATTCTCGAACCAAAAATTGAAAGACTTAGGATTAGAGTTTACACCAACAAAACAAGCTCTATATGATACGGTGAAGAGTCTTCAAGAGAAAGGTCATATTCCACTTCCTACCCAAAAAGATGGATCAGTTCGACTCCAATCTTAGCTCTGCTCTTTAATTACTTCATACCTATCAATTTATGTTGAATTTCGAAATTTGATACAACTTGCATGATCATGCCTAAGTTATTTGAAACGTGACACGGTGATTAATTTTCTTTAAGGTTATTTTATATTCAAAATGAAGGATTAAACCCTTGACCTTTGGTTAAGTATAGATGAGTCAATTCCATTTAACTATACCCCCAATTATATTATGTTCACACTTATTGTGCATTTTAGTCCCAACATCTACCGTTCAACACAAACCAATATTATAAGTAAATTTTATTGAATATATATATATATATATATATATATATATATATATATATATATATATATATATAAACGTAAATGTACAGTCCAACTAATTAACTTAAAATTTTAGTTAAGATAGAACACATGCTTCAATTTGATATCAGAATTAATTTCATAGAAGAGGTTATGGGATCAAATCTCCACTCTAGTTCACCTATTGCTTGAAACCCATAAAAAAAAATAATCAGTCATGACTCATGTGTTGCTAGAGCCTATCAGTTTAGACCCACTGTATAGAAACGAAAAATCAATATTAGTAAGTAAATCTCGCGAACCAACTTCTAGATGCATTCTCAATCACTCTCCCTCGTGCATTACTTGTACTCCCATTAGAACATTCATCAACATTAAGCTTAACCCACCATTCTTCCCCAACCCACCTGTCTCATATCAACCATTCTAGAATGAGCCCTAATGATCCTAAACCCTAATAAATCAAGATTAGTTCTTTAAACAAACATGTACACACTCTACTATTTGGTACACATGTAATGTGTTTCTACTAATCCGTAGTTCGATTATTGCCAAATTTTAAACTACTAAATACATTCAATTATTACCTAACAACAAAGGAGATCTGGCCTGACTTCAAAACGTGTACCAACTACCTTAATTAGTTGTTTGGTTTGTTAGGACATACCGACATAGAATCTTTCATACGTCCAAAAAAATCGAAAGTTTAATCAATTACCTTCATTTGTACAAACAAAAAACGCTTAATTGTTTTGTTGTGACACTAGTCAGTAGTGTAGAAGCATTTAGGATTTGTGGATTAGTTGATACACATCTCATGATTTAATTTTTTCATCAAATATGTAGGACATGAATGATATGACCCTTGAGAATAGGGTGTAATACTATAAATACGTTTAGTTGCATCTTAATTAATTAACCTACTTCATCTCTGCTAAAGACCTTGTGGTCAAACAGTATAACTGTACGTGACTCACACCAAATGAGGTATTAATTAAGATGTTCTGATCATCCTAACCAACCTATACTACTTCATCTCTAGTCACATAATTCATTTTCGTTAATATAATCACACCTAATGGGATATTAAGATGTTCGGATCATCCTAATAACTACACAAATATAAAAAGAAAAGTTTGTTATCTTTGAGTTGAATGCCTCAAATCTTTTGATGTGCTCCCACCAACTCTAGATGTGTGTAAAGGAGTGAAGTGTTTGGATTAAACAACCCAAAATAACCACTAGCTCAAGTTTGAGTGAGAATGAAATCTCAAATATCAAATTAGCTAAAAGTTTCTTACAATATCTAATAGTTGGGTATATATAAACCCACTAGCTGCAAACTATCATATAAACCAACGAGGTACAAACCATCAAAGCACTAAAAGTACAAACAAATAAAGCACACAAAAAGGAATATTCCAAAATATTCCACACGAGATGTTGAAACTTGCGTTGTCCACATACTATCCCCAACCTTAAGGGCCTCTCGCACATCGACCCGACAGAGCATATATGAAAATGTAAATCATGGTAACTCAATTGAACACAAAGGCTAAACCTTTGCTTATTGCGCACAAGAAGTCCCTTCACTGAGGTTGGTCCCACTGTACACTACCGTTTGTGAGACTTGGTCCTTGGTCCCACTGAGTTGCACATGCGATATATTCTGCCAAAGAGATTAAGTAGACGGCGAGTCTCTTCTTAATAGGATTCTCTTTCAGATCAACTCTGTGTCATCATTTTTTTCTTGAAACATATAAAACTCGAATCTAAACCGTGATTAAATGGAAGGGATCGAAGTTCATCATCATATATATATATATATATATATATATATATATATATATATATATATATATATATATATATATATATATATATATATGCATCTTTAGAAGGCACTTGAATGCATAGGATTGAGGCTTTAATTTTCTAGACTAGCGTCACAAAATATTTATTTATTTGATTGGTTGTTTATTTTTCCTTAACCTTTGATATCAGAATTGAATTACATTAAACTTTAACTAATTTAAAATCAAACTATTGTAAAATCTATTTGAAAAGAGTACTTTAAAATCAAACTAATTTAAAGTTGTTTTAAGTATATGATTATATAATATATTCCATATATTTCACGCATGAATTTCTAGTGGATTATAATTATTATAAGGAATGAACAGGAAAAATAAAGCATGCAGCATGATATGCACAGCCGAAAGCGATGAATGGGGAATGACATGAAGAGCCAAAAGAAGAAAAGCAGAGAAAAAAAGTTCTCTATAAATCCAAAAATTGTAATTGTGTCCCTAAAATATACAAATTCATGCCATTAAACTTAAAATGACATATTCACCGAATAATAGATGACGTGGTGATAATAGATAAAAAAAAATATTTTAATAATTTTAAATATAAAAAAATTTTAATTAAAAACAAAAACCCCAGATCAAGACTCCCCCACCTTTGTCTCCGCCGGAGACAAAGAAGGTGTCTTCATCTCGCGCTTGGAGATGAAGAGTCTCTCTTTGTCTCTAGCAAAAATGAAGGGGTGACCGGTGAATGTTTTTCTTTTTAAATAATTTTTCTATTGAAAAATTATTAAAATAAATTTAATAACGCCCATATTTATTTAATGACCATGCTTCTTTTATTTTTATTATTTTTGAAATTTCAAAACAGTTGTATCCAAGAGCCCTATTAAGAGTTAAAAATAATTTGTAATATACCTTTATATTTTTTTAATATCAAATGTTTTATATAAATTTGTTTGTTAGACTTTTTTTTTTTTCATTTAAAACTTACATATTTTTATTTATTTAAAGTTATTTCGAGTACATGATTTTATAATATTTTTAGAGTAAGTTTGACTTTTAGTTATTAACTATTGTGCATTATATTGACACATTTACGGGGCGTTTGGTTGGAGGGAGGGAATTACATGGGAAAGAAATTGCAATTCCATGGGAGATGAATTACTGGGAATAAAGTAGGAATTTAAATTCAACTGTTTGGTTTACAGGAATAGAATGACTGAGAATTTCAATTCCAATGTTTGGTATACATGGAAATTGAAAGAGAATAAGTAGTATAAAGTCTAAAATGTCTATTGTTGTTGTGGGCATCAATTTTAAGTTTTTTTTTTAAAAAAAGAGGGGTAATTTTGTCTCATGATTATCTTCTTTTTTTTTTTTTTTTTTCTTTATAAAATCCATGGAATTAAAATATCAGGGAGAGACATGAGATTTTAATTCCATGAAAATGAGGGAATTGCAATTCCTTCCGACCAAACTAAGGAATTTAGTGACCTTTGAAATTAGGTGGGAATTAAGTGGGAATGGAATTTAAATTCCCTCCAACCAATATTTTTATTTTTAAATTTTGTCACATTCTATCTATTTGTTTGTTGCAATGAGTTATCCATTTAAAAATTTGTCATTTTATCATTTAATAAAAATACCTAACATGTGTTTTATCATTCAAATCTCTTATCACAACGTGTAATATCTCTCACTCTCTTGTATACTATTTTAATTGAATGATAAAATTATGTGTTAGTTATATTTATTAAATGATTGAATACCAAAAATTTAAAGAAAGAACTAATTGGACATAACAAGCAAATAAAATTCAAAGATATATGATAAAATTAAAATAATAAAATTAAATATAATAATATTATAATAGTTAAGAACTAAAAGTGAAATTTATTTTATATATATTTCATGTATTGCAAGGGTGATTTTTTAGTCAATTGTAATAAGAAATGAAGAGGAAAATGAAAGTAATATGGAACCGTCAAGCACCTTGTGCTCAAATGGCGTTTCTATATAACTCGCTTTGAGGGAAGATTACAGGATTGAACTCTGATGATAGTAATAAAAAATAAAAAAATAAAAAAGCATGAAGCCGAAAGTGATGAGGGGCCAAAAGAAGAAAAACTAATAAAAAGTTGTCTCTACAAACCCAAAAAAGCAGCGATCAATTGACATTTGTCATAGAAACTTCTAGCATCATTAAATCATGCCTATAATCTAAACTATATATAAAAACAAAATCCTCAAACTTTAGCTTCCTGCCCAAAACAGTCTTATATTATTAAGATGTGTGTAATATTATAAAATAGTGTAATGTAATTCCTAATACAATATATTGTTTTCTATGTAATATTATAAAATAGTGTAATGTAATTCCTAATACAATATATTATTTTCTACTTTCCTATTCGTACTATAATTCTACAATATATTCCAGTTGAATTAAAAATTGCGAGCTTGCATTGAATAGATTACTAGATAAATACTTCATATTACTTAAGTTTTAAAGTGTATATGAATTATTAGATAAAAAAAAATTTGTCTCTGGCCGAATTTAGTTATGCTCATTATGTAGTGAACACTTCGTAGTCATATTTAAATTCAAATTAGTCACTCGACCTCATTTGATAGTTGTATCTGGAGAGCATTACTTGCTAATACAGTATTAAGAATTACATAATATATATTGATATTGTTTAGAATATTTAGAATTAATTACCAAAATGGTCCCTTGACTATAGCGAAATTATCAATTTGGTCCTTGACTATTTTTTTAAACCAATTAAGTCCCTCAACTTTAAAAATTTTAACCAATTTGATCCTCCGTTAGTTTAACCGTTAGTCAACAGTTAACTTGGGACCAAATTGGTAATTTTGCTATAGTCAAGGGACCATTTTGGTAATTAACTTTAGGGGTGGCAATTCGGTTTAGTTTTCTCGAATCGAACCGAAGTAATAAACCGTACAACCGAACGATATTGGATTCTTGTA